TGTCTCCGACTCGAATGGTACATATATATATATACATATATAGATACTATATATACATATATACATATATACATATACGTATATAGAGATATACATATATACATATATAGGGATATAGAGATATAGAGATAAAGATATATAGAGATATACATACATACATATATATTCTACAGATATAGATATAGAGATATAGAGATATAGAGATATAGATATCGAGATATACATCTATAGAGATATAGAGATATACATATATACATATATACATATATAGAGATATAGAGATATACATATATGCATATATACATATATAGAGATATACATATATAGAGATAAACATATGTACATATATAGATATAGAGATATAGAGATAAAGAGATATTGAGATAGAGATATAGATATATATATACACGCCCCAAAGTGATGGGTAGTAAAAGTCACTTATAACATTCCAGTTCAATCCAATTTCTATAGACGACCTTACCGCAAACACACATCACCGATAAAATGCTCGAAGCCTCTAATACAAAACATGACACATACCGTATCGTCCCCCGCCTCGCCCACCCCCGTATCCTCCGCCGCCATGGTCTCCCGCATAACGACCGTGATGGTCTCCATAGCCGCCACGGTGCTCTCCTCCGTGGTCTATTCGTATAGTTTGGCACAGGGCAGTTGACCAATGAAATGAGGCTATGTGGCTAAAACGATATATATCCTTTCGAAATTCAGAGAGTACATCATAAACAGATACTGAGGGCATAAAAAACTAAAATAGTATATCATAAAGCGTTAGTGAGGACATAAGTAGCTATGATAGTACATAAAAACTAAGATAGTACATCATAAACAGTTAGTGAGGACATAAGTAGCTAAGATAGTACCTAAAAACTAAGATAGTACATCATAAAGAGTTAGTGAGGACATAAGTAGCTAAGATAGTACATAAAAACTAAGATAGTACATCATAAAGAGTTAGTGAGGACATAAGTAGCTAAGATAGTACATAAAAACTAAGATAGTACATCATAAACAGTTAGTGAGGACATAAGTAGCTAAGATAGTACATAAAAACTAAGAGAGTACATCATAAACAGTTAGTGAGGACATAAGTAGCTAAGATAGTACATAAAAACTAAGATAGTACATCATGAACAGTTACTGAGAACATAAATTTTGCCACGTCTTTCGGGTTGTAAGTGCTCTGTGGATCTTAAGCGAACATATATAAAGTCAGGAACTGG